GGGAAGGCATCGGTGATTCGCAGTGTACAGAGTCGCCCCTTCGTAAAGACATTGGAGAATACGACAAAGAGAGGTTTCGGCACGCAATAATTCGTGATGTAAGCGAATCCCGCGTGACGAAAATAATTGGAGTGCACGTCAAATGCACTGAACGGACTGTTCGGTACAGACACCTACCAATATGGAACAAATGTTTAATTTCATTACAAATCTTTTAATAACAAATACGAGTTTTAAAATGTCCATTTTTCATTGAGAGTTCACACATCCCATAATGATGAGAATTAAATGAACGATTAGGATTCGATATGGTATTTCGTTGACGAATCTCTATGTACGTTCGCGTGAAAAGCGTATTTTTATCAAAGGATTAAATGAATTGGTAATTAAAAACGATTAATACAAGTTTGATATTGATTATGTAAGATACTTTGATAACATAGTTTTATATCTATTGCAATGTAAACGTATAATGTTGTGCTAGTTGATACGCAAGCGTAGAATCTAAGGGTATGCAGAGACTTACAAATCTCCCATTGTCTTGCAATCAACACATAATTATCCCGTATGTGTATATGCGCGTATAATAAAACAGTTACGTGCGTAAAAATGTTTGTGTGTATGTGTGTATACATACATATACATGTAGAAAGAAAGAGAAAGAGAGAGAGAAAGAGAGAGAAATAGAGAGAGGAAAAGACAACAGTCAATAACCAGTCACAAAGTACCTTTTAGTCGAGTTAGCGAGCTTCTCTCTACGCTCAGGGTCAGACTGAAACAGACATCATGACGCGTCATTTTTAACGCGATTCATTAAGACAATTCGTTGATTGGTAGGCAAGTTAGATAACTTGGTAGGTTAATAGATGGAAACTTTTTTTTTAAGACACAGACACAGAAATTGACAGCGCTAAATCTGCTTCGTCAATGTGATGCTTGACGCGAAAATTATTTGCGATCGGTACATGTAGGAATACGATCGTTACATACTACTCGTCGTGACAGAGCGAACTCGTTCTCTACTTTCTATAGTATATAATTGTGCAAGATATCCAAGGTGTTCTACAACCGTAAGGTGTTCTACAACCTCGATCGTAATTTTAAAGATATATTCCTAAGCGAAAAATAAGACGAAAATCCCGAGACGAAGGTGTCGAGGCTGCAACACTTTTTAAATGGGAGGCATTTACAGTGGACGAACCAGACGATCTAAAATTCGCGCATTCAGAGACGGTGCATCGCACAGTGATAACGATGTCCTTGCACCCTTGCCGACTCCTTATAAAGGTAAAGTAATTACATATACAACAATATTGAAGTCATTAATTGAATCTATTTAACATAGAAAACGGACATGCTGGTATCCATATAAAAATATTGCAGGATATTAAAAATAATAAATACAATATACAGTTAATACTCATAAAATGCTATTACATAATAGACAATTTCAAGAACAAAAACACCTTCATCACTGTACGATGTCCGTCCCTAAGCGCGCGAACTTCCGACCAGCTGATTCATCTCGATATTTCCGTCTTAGGAATTTCATCTAATTTTTTTTTTTAGGAATATGTCATGAAAATTGGGATCGCGAGTTATGGGACACTCTGTATATATCAGTAATATATCAAATATGAATATAATTGTGTAGAAGATTGTGCGAAAGTTATTCGACTTTCCAATTTTAACTAAATTCTAAAAATAAATTTCGGATATTACCGTATACATAATTAAATTTTATAAATCGTGTATTAAAAATCAATATTTTAAGAACTGGTAAATAGAAAAATGATGTCAAAATAAGACAAAGTCCAAAATGGCAAATGCAAGATAAGATATTTCCAAATTGAAACAACAGTTTTAGGACATTTTCAGAGTCGCGGAATACAGATTTAATTTAATAAAACAAAATATTATAAACCGCTGATAATATAATTGATATCCCCCCCTCCCGACTAATAATATAATTTAATTACTTTAAATCTGTAGTAAGATCTAAAAGTTTTCAGCATAACTTATATCGTAGATATTACTGTACCGTCAATACTAATTAATAACAAAGTTGTATTTCTTTGCTATTGAGATACAAAAGACTGAAAGAGCTTCATCTTTGCAGCCATAAACATAAGCACGTAGTACATTTGTACATAGTATATTACTTAGAAATATTTGTATTATTGAGAAATTTATATCACGAATTTGAGCAATTGATACGCGAAGATAACACCGCACGTCATCAAATTACTGTCATAATCAAATAGTCTGAGAATTTCAAATATTATACATAATTTTTTTACATTTTACAATTCATATTTATCACAATATTGTTTCTTTAAGGTTTCAGCAATTTCCATAGAATTAATGAGCTCTGTACAATCTTATTCACTCCATATTTCAGAAATATAATTTTTTTGTTTTAATATATTGAAACATGAAGGGATAACAAGAGTAACGTAAACTTCAGCAAATAATTTTAAATTGACAGTAAAGGCAGAAGCGATCGGATACTATCTCCGAGACTCTTCATCGAATACATGTCGTTTTACCGATGTAACTGTAAATTCAATTTTGCTTTTTCGCATAATAAATGTTGAAATTGTAAGACAATTTCAATCAAAGAAAATTTCAAAAAGTGTATGTATATTATTAAAGTATATATACATACACATATTCTTTTATATTATAGCAGCGTGCATGTATATATTTGTACACACACACTGCGTATTAACGACAGATGATTTCAGAAATACGACTCGTTGGTTTATTAAGTAAATATAAATTGTTACGAAGAAGAGAGCAAGAAGAAGGATAAACTGATCTCTTTAATTTATATAGCACATTTTCAACTTGTTATCGCGTAAGATTTTATTAAAAGAAATATATAATAATTATATAGATTAATTATGTAAAACTGTGAATTCTTTTTCTTATCATTATTCACTTGTTGAAACAAATAGCTGTACTTTTCAAATGCCCATTTTAACATTTTTAACATGACTGACACAAATTTTAAAAGAGCAATTTAATAAGTTCATCAAATAAGTTACAGACGGAAGGAAATATGATATTATAAATGTCACCGGAATAAAATGTTTGTCAAACCGTAAGCCATTTCGTAAGCCAACCTTAGTAGCACAGTGCCATTGGCCGTAATACAACCAGATATTGGGCCAATGTTTTACCAATGTTTGGTCCATGCACTGTGTTACTAGAGAAGTATACGTATATTATAGAAAATAGGGATGAAAATATAACATTGTGCTATACACGTATAACTTTCGGTTTGATTTCGCTAATCTATATAATTTGTAACATTCTCTTGTGAACTTCGATATGTATATACGTGCACGCAGAATTATTAGAGTACATTTTCCATAATGCCCCGATAAACGTTTAAATTTATGTGTTGTGGCGTTAGTGGTGTCGTGTGTGTATATATATATTATTATTTTATTAATATATTTTATGAAACAAGATCATGTTGCTGAAAAAATAACTGCTGTCCAAGTTCCAACAGCATTGCGAAAAGCAAACAGTGAGATTTAACGAGATTTCGAACAGGTGTAATTTTTCATTTGAATATCAGAAGGGCAAGTTTGTGAAAAACAATGTAGCAATAACTAACGAATTAGCACATAATCGGTTATCGCTCCTCAACAATATCGTTTATATTCGAGATGCATGCGATAATTAATAATCGATAAATCGATTAATTAAATTCCCTGCACTCAATGTGAAGCGCACTGATCGCATTGAAAGCATGACCGACGCGATAAGTTCTGTTAGTTGCGTATTAGTTGAATAGTTAAAAAGTTATTGGTTCACCAAACATGCGCCCCAGATTCGTGCACGCACGCGAAAGGGAGAGAGGGAAGAAAAGACAGAGAGGCCGCGGGGGGAGGGTGAGAGGGAATAAACGAAAGGATTCTAAAGTCGTGTCGTGTCTTGCAGGATAATAGCGTACCTCGATAAAAGACATCGCGATTCGATGATACGAAGATCGTTGATGTCTCACTTTGGCGACTCGTTTTAAAATCGCAGCTGACATTCTACAAATCTCCAGCGTTTATCGAGAAACACTCCCACGGGAATATTTACTAATGCGACATACGTACACGTTATTCGTTGTGTATTACGTATTCTAATTTCGATCCTACCATTGTACTAATAAGAAAAGTGACAGAACAGTAACTCCTTTTCCCTTGTTAGTACAATCTTCATTTACTGCGAATCGAAGATTCCTAGATTCAAGCAGTTTTGCATGAATTGTGCTGTTTAATAACAATGTTAGAATTTCATCTATCAATGATACAACCGCAATCTTTGAGTTAACCACCTTATAAATTATCACGCGCGGAGAACACACGGGAGTAACTTAATTATGTAAATTTGCGTACATCTTTAACATCTTCTCGTGTCAATGAAACCTTTAGCCCGTTAGCTCGACAAAGCAGGCTCACAAATATGTTGTAAATATTTTAAACGACATTCCAGAATATCTTCAAAGTTTTCGTTTGTTTAAGTATCGTTGGGTGTTATATAAAATCTATTTATAGCCTATTTTCCGCAACTTGACAAACCTGGTTTATCAAATTGGAACGGTTTCATTATATGCGAATCGGACGAATCCACATAAATTTTCACATTTCTGACGACCGTAAGATTTCGATATGTAACTGATTCATATATCGTCGATATTTAAAATTTAAGAAATTCTTTGTAAAAAAAACCCCCTGATTTGTAAAGAATTTTCGTCGCTGGAAAAAAATCGCCCAACTTTGCAGCAATTTTAGTAAATTACTAAATTCTCGTAGTATTAGAATGTACATTTGCAGATGTCTCGTCCATCCTTCCCTCTTCATGCGAATCATTAGATAGCAACCAGATTCGAGTGATTCGCAACGTTGTTCGAGAGCGAGAGATAGAGAGAAAGAGAGAGAGAGAGAGAGACAATTCGTAGATCCGAAAACCGGCAGAAACTGAAAACGAGTACATACCCGTTTGCGAATGCGGGGATTCTATTCCTCGGTGTCCATCTTCCGGCCTGAGGACCGACGAAAATGTCGGTGCACTCGAAACCGTGACTGTCGGCGGCTTCTCAGTCTTATCGTTCCTTATTAATTGATGAACTGGTGGTGGACCTACGCACGAAAGAATACGTGGATTAACATTGAATTTCATAATATAAGCCAAGGAATCCTCTTACATTTTTTGTACTACTTAAAAATTATTCCGTATAAAGTTAGGACTGTGTTATTTTTTTTCAAACGCAATTGCACGGTATACACATCGCTCACCGCATGTGCAGTCTTATTCATTAATGCCTGGACCTCAGTTTTACCAGGATTCACATTTTCATAATCTTTATTCCCATTTACACATCGGCGAGTTTCAGGCTACAGTTCACAAAGCTTCATAGAAGTCTGTGATAGTACCATAGTATAACTAGTGGTTCCACTCTCTGTCGACCCCTTTGATCTTTACGGTCCCGATCACGTGGTATTCCGCCATTATTTTAAGCAGCAATCCAGCGGCCTATGTGCCCTGGCGAAAGTTTTAAGCGGGAGATGATGTTTATATTTATTTATAAAGAGTTTTATCGATAGTTACATTGTTTACGAAGAGTTTCATTGATGGTTACGCCGTTTGGAGATACGTTGCGAACACCTGGTTAATTCTTTACCGACGATAACATTTTACAAATACTTCGAATACTATAATGGAAACGTTCGACATTGTATCATTAAACGCAATTTGGACACGTGTAACCGTATAAATAATATTTGTATAGATGAGAAAAATGATGATAAAAATGCAGGTCCAGGCATTAATGAATAAGACTGTACGTACACTAGGCATCATTGATGCCTTCCCATAAGAATTTAGGCACACATAGAGTACACATACATTTTCCACGTACATATTTGCAAAATGTATAAATGTGGTGACATGTGCACAAATTCATATAACGAAAAGGCATCGGTGGTGCCTAGTGCATGTACACTACACGTGTCTCTTCTAGGCATATTTTTCATCGTTATCAAGTTATGAATAATACACGGTCGATCGCATGCTTTGCGCGTCATTGTTAATATAAAAGAGAACGTATGTACGATAAAAAGGAAAGAAAGAAAGGTACCATGGGGACGCAGTTGGCAACGATTCAGATATGCTTATCGCTAAAATTTTTCCACGCATACATCATGCCCGATCAAGTGGTTTTATTTTACTTCAACTGTAAATTTCGTCTATCTGTTTGGCAATTGGCACCGTCCCTTATTTTGCTAGGTGGGATTAACGCTTCTTGCAATGGGACTCGTTCCTCGATTGAGTATTATCCCTTCTAAGTATATGGTGCATATATCATGCCTTAATTGTCCCTCTTGACGTCGTCTCTTCTAATACTATCCTTACTTGTTCGTTCCCATTCACGCTTCCCCCTTCCTTATCCCCAACATCTCCCTAACGTTCCCTTGGAAAAATTTACTTTGTATGATAATCTTTCAAATCTAAGAGTTTACCTAAAGAAGTTACAAGTTTACTTAAGAAATTTTAGAGTAACTTTGGACATTTGAAGAAATTTTTAGACGGCCAAGTTCCCGCTAGAGGGCCGCGCGGTATAGCACTTTCTCGTAAGAAGAAAACCGCGCGCGATATTATAAATTATATGGCATACCTTTCACAATTCTCGAAGTTTTCTTTTAAATTCTTAGAGCAAGTTTGAAGTTTACCTTAAGTAAAAGTTTAAGGTGTCCAAATTTACTTTTCACATTTCTTATTTTTCGAAAGTAAAACTTTGAGGCTCTCTAAGGCATGTTTTCCCAGGGGTTGACTGATATTGCCGGTTCATGTGGCCGAAAGAAGCGAATGTGTTCAATTACGCAAGTAAATAGCCCGCTCGAAATATACGTTTGAGGTATACTTTCGCTGGCGCGCTCCTCATCTCGCTTATATATTTCATCTTCGGGGAAGGAGTACGAAACTGAAAAAAATTAATTGCGAAAGGCAAAGGGAGGAAATACAAACGACGTATAGTAATTCCCGAACGCAGAACAGTTCGGGACACGGAAGTAACTTCATCTTTTCTCTCCTTTCGCTCTCTCTCTCTCTCTCTTTGTCTACAACCTGATCAATTTGTCGTCAGAAATGTGTATAATACGTGCAGATATGCTGAGAAAAATGAAGGTAACCCTGAAAGAGGGTAAAACAATCCGAGGACGCGAAAATTACCGGCTGTCGCATTAATAGTAAGATCAGCGACATATGACGCTTTTTCCGATTTGCGAGCATCCGCGATCGGAAAAGGCCGTGTTAGGTCAGATAGAGCGAGGCCTCCCACCGTTTTGACGACAGAATCAACACAACGGAGGAACATTTACGTGCGAACGAATAATTTCCTCCCCCTCCCCCTCACGCCCCTCGTCCCCCCCCCCCCACATCCCCCAGTTCTTTCCGCTTATACGACGTGAACTAGTTTAGCGAGCCTAACGGACACGGACGAAAGCGTGTTACGCCGCGGCTACCGCTCGACCCCGACTCTGTCTACTAAAAATAAGGGCAAAGGCAGATTTTGAAACTCACTGAAGCTAGCCGCCGGCTGAACGTGATCCGCGGTCGTGGCTGCGGATGGTGGGGTATAGCTGCTGCAGTAGTACGGCGGGTGCTCTATTTTGATCGCGTTTATTTGAGGCTGCATGTCGCTGAGGTCATGCAGTATGGACGCTGAAACCAGACGCACATTAGCAGCTACGGTTTCTTAGCACGCTCGTACGTGTGTCATTCGTTTTCCTTGCACTCCGTGAGCACGATCGCGAAAACGGCGCTTCCGCGCAAAAAACAAACGGGAAAACGAGAGGGTGGGAAAGGGACAGATACAGAAGGGGGAAGGGAAGAGAGAGAGAGAGGGGGAGGGGGGTTGGCAGATGGGGAGAGGAGGAGAAAAATCAAATCGTTTCTGATATCTCGAAAGAATAAAAAAATGTTCCAACAATTATTCGCAAAAGCGATTGTTCTCTCTCATTGTCAGCTACCGAGCTATGCGCATGTGATACACGTTGCAAAATTACGAGGCACTAAAAGTTTTATTACACTGGTATAAAAACACCCCCCTAAAAAACACCAAACCAAATACAATAATAATATTTTATATATAATTGAGAAATTGCTTGAATAAGCAAGCGACCGACTCGCGAGCTATTAAAAGGTAACACTAGATTTAAAAAATTTCAAGTTTCTTATCAATACTAAAATTGTACGTTTCCACCTAACTTGACCGTCTTTAGCAAATCATAGTTAAAAGAAACGAGAGGACAATTTCTTCACCAATTATCTTAAATTTACAAATAACGGAAATTTCTTAATATTCTAACACAGCGCTGGAGCTCACAGCAACGTAGATATTCAAAGAAACAATGGCAAATGCTGTCGGGCAATGATCAGAAATGAAATTAAACTAAACGTGAAAAAACTACAAATATAAACGGTCAATGTTATAAATATGTATAAAATTAATTATTCCACGCTTGACGTGAGTATGGTAGTCCATTATTCGGTTTAAGATGTCCAACAAAGACCATGCTTGTGACCATAAATTTACTTTAAACGAAATTAAAGTTTTCAAAAGTAATCTTTCAAATCTGAGAGTTCACTCAAAGAAGTTAAAAGTTTGCTTAAGAAATTTTAGAGTAATTTTGGACCTGAAGTAATTTTTAGACAGCCAAGCCTGTCGAAGTTCCCGCTAGAGGGCCGCGCGGCGTAGCACTTTCTCGTAAGAAGAAAAACGCGGTATTACAAATTGTACCACATACTTTTCACAATTCTTAAAGGTTTCTTTTAAATTCTTGAAGTAAGCTTGAAGTTTACCTTAAAGAAAAGTTTAAAGTGTCCAAATTTACTTTTCACATTTCTTAATTTTCTACAGTAAAATTTTGAGGGTTTTTTAAGGTATATTTTTCCAAGGGCACAATTGACGGGAATATTTGAACATGGCCAAGCGTTATTAATAATATATCAAGAATATAATTTGTCATTATATTATATTCTCGATCCAACACGCTCACGTCTAAAGGAAAATACTGGGCATAAAATTCGGTCGAGTTGTTCGAGAGAAGCGCGACAGTTTTTGTTTGAATCGTCTCCGATTTCTAACGAATGGCGTATTGCCATTCGGAACCGTTTGTTATTATTGAGATTGCCAATGATGAATCCACGTTGAGAAGTCGCGTACAACCTTTCCAAAGGGGTAACGACCCGTCGCAGCGCTCGAAGCTTTTCATTGTAGACTTACCTCGAGACACTATATCGTATTCTTGTTACGGAAGTGACAATTAAATATGTATACGTCTTTTTCAAGGGGAAAAGTTCATCAACGTTTGTAACTATCAGGATGTTTTCAAAAGGTCTTTCGCATTGAGCTGTTCGTCACCTTTCGAAAGCATCCGCAGAAGAATCGTCGCGTGTAACGAAATATCTCGAGAGAATGTTAATCCGATAGCGCAAAATCGAACCGAATGCAAAATTTATCGAACGTACAGACGCACGTGAGCCGCCGTAAGGCTGCTAAAGTCAAGTTGCGTGTGATCAACGGGAAAACTCGAGTTCGAATCTATGAGAAATGTAGCATCGTACCTTTTGAAAGCATCCAGAGCTCTTTGGAGCTGAAGACACCTGTCGCGAGGATCGTATCATTGCAGACGACACCATTATATAGTTCATGGTATCCTGTACCTGGGAACAAAACCCAGCGAACAATATTTAATATCCGTTCAGACTCGCTGGGACCCGGTATATATGAGTTTGGATATATATATCGTGTGGATGTGGCGTATAAAAATTTTATGGGAAACGATCAATCAAAAGCGCGTATGTGAATGCTTCCCTCGAGACGAGCAACGAATGGGATTGCACAAATGTGAACTGCGAAATTATGCGGGTACCTTTTCGACGCCTGTCGTCCTCCTTGCTGGCGTTACAGATGCCGTTAAGTACCTCTAGAACAGAAAGAAAAATGTGGTAAATACGTTCGATTAATGAAAAGTGATCAATGCATTTTGCGACGGTAAGCAACGGCGCGCTTCGTTCGGCTTCTTCACTTAACTTCACGGAAATCGAATGGTCACCCGTGGAAAACTCGACAACCCTGCATATCGAAATATTCAAATGCCCGAAACCTCTCTTTAGATGAAAAGCGCATAATGTTTCTACTGTTGCACGACGTTTAGGACCATCGCGTTTTACGCAAATCTCATTACGCAACGTATCACCGAAATACTCGAGGGTCCGGAATTGTACAGCGATTTCTCGAGTGGATCGAGAGGAGTGAGGAGGAGTGCGCCGATAGAAACTCGAGTTTTATTGTAAATCATACGAGAAATAAGCGAAAATACTAAAAAGAATCCGGACGGTTAATTACAATTTCATATTGCGTTACATTTTGCGAGTACTTTTCTCGCCCTGCATGTACGACATAAGCCGCACGTTACAAAGTCACTTGAAAAATCGGTAGAAAATTGAATACATCAATTTGGAGGCATTTATGAAAGTATTTGCTTTCGTCACACGTGTACATTTCAAACGAAATGATGCGAGAGACAAATTTTTATAAATCTTGTTCAAGTTGTCCGTCATGAGAAAGCGAGGCCTCGTATCTCGTAGATCCACAAACTGTTGAAAGCAAATCACGGACCAGCGATCGCTTTGCTTCTCAAATAAATAAAGATTGCGCTATCTGTTCGTGAGGTCCGATTCAAGATCCGTATCATTTTGATCTTATTCCGAGGACACTTCTTTTGACACGCTTTAATACGTGGGGGTATCGCGTCGACGTTTGAAAATCAATTGGAATGGCACACGACGAATTGTCATACAAGCGCAAAGATATTCAGGTATTTTCAGTGGCATGAAAGAAAATCAACGTATAAGCGAAGCTGTGTGAGCTCTCGCTAAAGATGTCCGTTGCCTATTTATTTATAGAGCGAGCATACAGCGGCAAGCATGGTCACGCGCTTGCGTGCACATTTTCTCTACATGTTCATTCGGCACGCCGCTCGCGTCGATACGCGGCCACACGGAGACGCGACAGACACGCATACAAACAGGCAATAATATATATGAGAAATGCGTAGACCCTGGCTCTCGTACACGGATATTGTGCGACGTTGATATGGACACTTCGTGCGCCCAATAGAGAACCAGAAGTCCCTTTTCGCGCGACCTTCGCCAGGGAAATCGCACGGGCTGTTACTTTTTCATCCTTTACGCATTTTACTTATTAGTGAATTATTATCTAATCTCGGATTAGAAAATAATTAGAAATCGATTCAATACGTGAATTTACTGACGACAATGATTCCATCTAATTGACATTGTTTGGTGTCCGAAAAGAAACATATAAGGTAGAAAGCGGTACATGAATTCACATTTTAGATTATTATTGGCTACCAACAGCTTGCTTGGACCTAAAGGCGCTCTCGTTCGTTTGATTTATATTCGGATTAACTGTCAGCCATAAATGTTAAAAAGAAAAACATTTATGAAAGAAATAGCGGCGGGACCACTTCCTTCGCTATTGTATAAATGTTTAAAAAAAGAACTCATCGTTTTGTTTCTTAAAATTACGAAATATTTGGTACGTTAAAGTAGAAACTTCAAGCTTTAAAATGCTTCTTAAATTTTTTACCCACGGTAATTCTTCGCCGAGTTTCAGCGATTTGAAAATTTTAACTCATGGAAAGTCCCTATTTTTCTTTTGAGTAGCGTACAAAATAGGTCACGCAAAAAGAATAAACCGCGATTTGCGCAAGGCACGATTTATTTAAAATTGCGCACTGCGTTTGCATTTGCATTGGTTGCAATAAAAAATGTAAAAAATACGGTTGGAAATGGAATGTTCCAATAATTAACCCATCGAAAATTGCGCGCACAATTTTTTATAATTTATAATTGTTCTTCTAATTAAGGACACCCGCACGCACAAAATTTTTGAAATCCGAGCAACATCTAAAAACCCTTCCTTGTCAGTCGAATCTACAGCTAATTGTATGCATTACATTTTGAGAGTTAATTATAGTATACAGCAGGGTTGGGAAGTAACTCGTTACTTGTAACGAAGTTGCAGTTAAAGTTACTTTTTTTTTGGTAACTCTAACTTAACTCCGTTACTCTCGCCACCTGTAACTGTAACTTAACTCAGTTACATTTTTTCGATAACTAGTAACTAATTTAATAGATACATCAGTAGTTACTTTATATATTTTTTAAACCTCCACAGATCGCATTAGGCCTTGCATTTGCGCGTAAACGCCTTTAGCGATACTTTACAATTCAAGCGCAGATTTGATATTTTTATTTTCTTTGCAAGAAAGTAACTGCAAAGTAACGATTCGTCATTTATTAAGTAACTGTAACGCGTTACTTTTCAGAATTGGTAACTTGTAACTGCAACTAATCACATTTTTAGCAAAAAGAGACTGTATAAACTGTAACGAGATACTTTTATAAAGTAACTTTCCCAACCCTGGTATACAGTAACCAAAAGTATTAGTGTTTTCTGTGAAAGTGTTAGAGGAAGAAGAAAGGAAAGAGAGAGAAAGCGAGCGTCAACATATGTTTGCCACTACTCATTTCGCGTTTGCCTTGCTTTATCCTGTTGGAAGCTGAGAATTTCAAGTGAGAAAGATCACGTTGTCACCTTGGCAATTCGATTGCGCGACTTGCCCTCGCATTGCCGAAAGTATTCTGGATTCTCACTACGCTATGCCTCGCTTTAAGCATATTACGATGTCGAAGAGATCAGTCGCTAAGAAATACAGTACGCGTAAACAGACACGCGACAAATGAATAAACCGCAAATAAATGTTAGCGCTGTATTTGCTTTCTCAAATTGGACCCGATCGAGATTGTCGAGCGACCCTCGAATGTTCTTTGGATCGACGTCCGATCGCGGTGGCTGTCGATCGTGATACTTCTTACCGTGACTCGTGATGAAATTGGCGAGATAGAGATCCAGTTCCCGGACGGAAACGTTGATGTGGTAAGGGTTGACGCAAAGTCCTGGCTGCGCGCATTCCGCAGTTTTCTCCAGTCGTTCGCCGTCTGTCGATTCCAATGGAATTGCCTTGAAAAGGATCACCATAACTAGGTCCAACCTCCATACCTATCACAGAGATGTCGAACAGAGTTCATTACGATCAGAGTGTGCGTGCGTGTGGGTGTGTGTGTGTGTGTGTGTGTAAAAGCTCGTGAAAACACTTTGCTGTGTTAAATATCGATGCTTCCTCAATCATCTATCTTTAATAAAAATTCACTTGATGAAATATCAATAAGAATGCGCGCGGAAGGCACACATAAATTCGATTCTCCGGACTTACCTTGTCCGCTTGACGAAGACAATCGATTCGACGCATTTTACCCTTTTGATCAGGATTGCTCAAAACGCACATCGCTGGTCTCTTCCCCGTGATACTCAAAACGAAGTCCTCTCGGTACTCTTGCGTGATGTCCTTCCGCAACTTTCCGAGAAGCCGCGAGGCCCATTTCTGTTTTACTTCCAGCTTCTCGTTCTGAGGACAGGAGAGGCACCGTAAATCGCAAATACCATTGGCACCCGTCAAGTTCCAGTGTTATCTAACGCGCGGATGTAATTGTCGACTTTTTTCTAATTTGCGTTCAACGGCAATGTAGCCACAGAGCAATTTTGTTGGGGATTTAAATAAATATTGAAATGGTTTTTTCGTCGGTTTTAAAAGACGAAACTCGAAAACGCTCAGTGACATATTCGATCTGGATATTTCATCGAGTTTGTAAGGTTCGTACGACCCGCAAGCGAGGATAGCGACCAGCGACAATCGCTCGAGGAGACGAGGGACGTCTTTCGGCCGTTCGCGATATGCAGCGCACGCGTGCGACCCCTGTCACCCTCGGAATAGCAAATACACGCATGCATAAGAACCCTGAGAAATGCATTGAAAGTGCGTGGAATGCATCCAAGCGTACGCTGCGCGCACGATCTATCTCGCCTAGTCCGTTTTGCTATGCACGTACATACGTCCGTACACTTTGTACGACAGCAGGCGGAAGATCTCTTACCCACGTGTTCTAGCCGAGCGATGGAGGCCGTTCGAGTTCCTCTTTTCAAAGTTTTCCAACAACTTCATCGGCTGAAGATTCGAATCGCTTATTCGAGCTATTTGAGTATCGAAACCACGAGAGTTTCAAATGAGTTACTGCCCGAGGTCCCAGACGTCCGAGAAAGCTTCCCTCGGAAACATTTCTCTCAAATAATTGAAACATTTCACATCCTCGAGGATGAAATTGGTTTCTACGCGAGAAACATAGACTGAATTCTTATAAACTCCGAAACGTTACGAAAGAAAACAATGAACTTTGATAGAAGAAATAAAATGTAAGAAAGGGAGACGAAAATTTTAATTGTCGAAACAGACTTTTCAAAATATTCAAGACCTTATAATATTGATGACATTTCATACGATTCAAGATTATCGTTATTTGAAACGATCAGTTCTTGAACCCAACATTAGTTCTAGCTTACCAATCAATCTTACAATAATTAACTTTGATTAAACGATTGTGCGCGCAACATAAAATCAGACAAAAAAGAACAACACAAAATGCAGTAGGTATACAAGGTGTCCCATCCTAACGTACCAAACGTTACGTTTTAAGAGGAAAATTGTAAAATTTAAATGTCGGGATTATAATAGTTTTCAAAGTTGTCCGAAATTCGCGCGGTCTATCACATTGCACGGTAGTGAAAGTATTTTCATGCGCATCAATTCTATTCTCGATACTGATATAATTTTGCATACATGTGGTTTGAATCGATGCGCTCGAAAACACCTTCGCTGCGCGCAATGTTACATGCCTAAGCGCGCGCATTTCGGATAATTGTATCTGTTGACTTTAAACACTTCTCATTTAAAAACTATTGTAGTCTCGTCATTTTGACATTAGGATTTTCGCTTCAGAATGACTTCAGGGATCTGCCGTTACCCGCAGGTGCATCAGACCTGGAACACCCTGTATATTGTATATCAGCAACTTGCAAATAAATTAAAAAAACCTTTCAGGACAATCGTTACGCCTATTGACGATAAGTAACTACACAAAATGAGAGAACGACACGGCAATAAGCACAGGTCGATTGACGCGATGCCATCTTGAAAATTTAGCCGCGAACTCAAGAGGAATGTACAATTAACGGTATTAACTCGACGATCGTTCGCATTTACCGTAATGGCTGTAAGACGGAGGGTAGTATCGAGGAATAGTCGAAACGACGCGCGTTCGCGCAGCTATCACGCATCGACGTCCCGACATTTCCGCGCGCGGGTGCGGGCGGATAAAATGTCAGGCACGTTCTTGCACGCTTGCACGCTTTGCACGCGGCCTCGCGCACATTCGCGAATAAAGCGGATAAAGAGGCGCATTTGCGGCCCGCTCCTCCCTGGAGAAAGCGCTGCGCGTTTACGGTGCATCCTGCGTATACTCGATATCAGGTATGCCGAATGCGAAGGTGAGCCGTGTTCACGGGAATTGTACCGAGAGCGCATAATATCGTGACATGCGTACATGCGCTATCCCGAAGGCGCGGCAATCTCGAACGCGTCGCTAATTTCACACGATTGCGCCTGCTGTCCCTTCAGCGCCTCTCTCTTTATTTGCCATCTGGCAGAGCGCGACACGCGGTGCAGTGCCCGAAAAACAATTTAAACAATCTATTAAAATAAAAGCGCCCAATGTGAGGTTTATCTCACATTAAGACGTTTAATTTTGGACCGAGAAGGAAACGAACCGATCGTAGGCTGTTACAAATCTTATCGGATATGACGAATCTTATCCGATACGACACCCGCCACAGCAGCCGCGCGGCCGATTTATTTTAGATCGAATATGATAGTTTAAGTTCTGTGATTCGCCCTTTCGCTTTCTCAATCTCCCTCTCTCTCTCCCCCCCCCTTTTTTCAAGCGCATTACGATTATACAAATCTCAGATCTGATGCACCACCGGGTAATGGCAGATACCTGAGATTATCTGAAGGCAAAAATTCTACTACCAAAGTACCGAGGCTGTAAACGTTTTTAAATGAGACATGTTCGAAGTCGGCAAATCAATTGTCCGAAATTCGCGCGCTCAGGCACGTCGCGTTGCACAGTAATGCAAATCTTTTCAAACGCGTCAAATCTATTGTCGCAACTGTAATATATACATTTTTGCATAAATTTCGTCTGAACTGGCGCGCTTAAAAATATCTTCACTAGTGTAAATATCTCACACGGTGCAGTGTCGCACGCTTGAGTGCTCGATGTACTGCACATTTCCTTCATTAATTTTATCATTGCTCTAACTTTCGATACTTCGTCTTGAATCTCGAGGCTAAATCGCGTCGCTTCGGACGTCCATGCTTGCGAGCTATTTATAAACATGGAAAATAAAGTGCGTATTATATTGTCGATCCAACGGTGAACGAGTATCAGTAAAGCATTTACATTAGCAATATATAATTTTTTTCGAAGATGATATAACCGCTATTATTTAACGAGGCAAGAAAAATAAGAGAAAGAGGAGGAGAGAGAGAGAAGAGAGAGAGGGGGGAGGAGGGAGAGGGAACAAAAACTAAAATATTTTATAATATGCACAAAAACCGTTATTGGCCGAAGTAATTACTACACGTATATGCGCGTACACTGTAAATGGAGTATGTAAAATTACGTAATTTACGAGTAGACATTATAATTACACTATTACCCAATAAACGCCAACTAACCGTGACATAACATCAATATTATACCTTCTCACTCACAATATAAACGTAAAATAACATGTGTTGTACGTAACAGCTACACTGCTGCGTAGGAAGTTATAAAATGTTGGCGTTGTGCAATCGTTAGCTATAGCGTTTGCTGGAAATAATAATGGAAATGTATAAATTCGTGCACTTTTACGAAACTTAAATTTTTTACCGCGGTCGTATGAACAATTATTTATATTCGGCGAACAATTACACAAAAGTCACAAAAATTATAACATTAGAAGCAAGCGATTACTTGTCGCGCGAGGCGATAATTTTGTCTGCAAGATATAAACTTTCTAACGTATGTGAATTTACGCCTTTAATAGATGATCCCAATTTTACTATAGCGAATTCGGTTGGTTGCACCAGTGCAATTCTTTTTACAGTCAATTCTTATATTTAAAGATCATCTTAAATACCTCTAGCAATATTTCTTATCCGGAAAAATGGTCTGTGCAACGTTTACACCGATCATTTTTCGACTAAATACTCTTTGAACGTGTATTTAAGACAAAGTTAAATATAAGAACTGACTATAAACAAGCCTTAGTGTGCACTCAGTGCGCACTAGAGCAAGCAACCGAACTCGCTATAATTGTATAATAATTTTACATAAAATTTTTGCACAGTGCATGTAAAGAAGAGGATAAAATCCGTCGTCGTACCAATGTGAAATAAAACGTCGTATTAGAGGTCGCGGACGATATCAGTTCGGGCTGAAATGTTGTTCGATGGTAAGGACGAGTTGTACGCGGAAAGGAACGAGAAAATTCCAAGCGGGAGAGAGAAAGAGAGAGAAGGCGAGGGCGAGCGCTTGAGAATATATTTATTAATTTGGCAAACTTCCCAACCGTGTATATCCGCCCGACCCTTTACGTTACTACGTTATGACGCGAACAAAGCGACTCCGCGATTTTTCTTTATAGGCAATATTCCGAGGTCTACGTAAAGCGCTGTAGATATTACTGTCTATCCCTCTGAACGCTCTGAACATGGGGCTTGTCTTTCCCCGCTCCGAGTGTGAGCCACCGAAAGCATCAAAGCTGCGGATCGTCGACACCCCTGCGCGAGCTCGGTACTTTCCCCTTTCGTTTTGAGGAGCAACACTCTCGTTTTACTTCGCGCTGTGTTTCACGGTCCCCGCCAAGTACAAGCACTTGGGTACTTTCGGCTTTTCCTTCATCGATCGCGAAACGACGGGCGAATATCGAATATCTCGCGGGTCCTGCTGGAGAAGTCTCACGGGGCGCGTTTTTACTCGCGATCGTATTTGTTTTGGCGACGCTCGCGTAACGCGGTACTCGCGACACACGGTCTCACGTAACGTTTTAGATCCTCGTAAATCAGAGAGAATCTCGCGCAAGAAAGGGTCGTCTCGCTCACGTTTAAACATTTATATGCAAGTCGAGGACGAATCTCGGCAATGCGCAAAAGAGCACTAGAGCGCGAAATTATTCCCATACGGTTGTATTGAAGATGAAACGTTGCATCTAAGTGTCGAACAAACCGCCTCGAGACGTTTGTTAATAATCGGACGATGGGAGATTCCGAGATTCGTTTCAACACGTGCGTAGCATCGGAAAATACCGGGCGCTGGAAAAAAAGGGGGGGGCAGGACTCGTTCATTTTTACAAAGCGACCGATCGCCATTCCCTTGGAACCGATTGCAGGGCGCAAAATACGTGTCTATCGCCGCGGGTCCGCAGTTACGTGTAGTTGCCGGCTTAACAAGCTGGAAAAGGTGACAATGCGAGCGACGCGCGGCACGGTAGAAAGGGTAGCGCGCTGCTAGTTTGCATAAATTTAGGAAATATAGGGTAGAAAATCGATATCTGCATAGAGATTATAGATGGTGGTTGGTAGGCGCCGCGTAGCCGCAGCCTCCGTCGCGACGGCGTATGCGCTACATGTCTACGTCCTCCAACACCATTTTCGACCGCCCCAAACCGACCGGCCATCCCTCCCTCTCCCAACTCATCCCCATTGCCGAAAAGTTGGTGCGCAACGCTCGCACAGCGGATACTTCTCGTGGGTGTTGGTAGGTCCCTCTTCCCCCTGCCTTGTCCCTCCCCCTTCCTCTCCACCCACCCTCTCTCTCTCTCTCGCTCGCTCTGGATCCCTCCGACCGTTCCGCTCCTCCCGCACGGACTCTCTCGATCCACCGCGACCCTTTCAACCCTCCGCCGAGCCGTCCGCACATACTCCTCTCGCATACGTACGCTCTTCCTTCCTCCTGCGAGCGACGCGCCGGGAAGCGCCGGGTCGCACCGTACCGCACCGCGCCGCACCCCCTTACCACTCTGGTTTATCCCCGTCTATCCGTCCATTGCTCACATTCTCTTTCTTTTGCTCTGACTTCCTACCTCTTTTGCTCGCTCGTCTCGGTCCCTCACGGCGCCCTACACCCGAATTGAAGTAGTCGATATTGTACTGCGGTCTGTCTCGAAATTAAGAGAAAACGACAGACTCGCGCTCGTAGTCTGGCCCGTATCTCTCGTTGTTTTCCATCCACGTCCCTTTATTCCCGGATTTCTTTCTCCAACTGTATATTAATGCGCCGCGTCTCCGCGCTTGCAAAATGTACACATTACGCGATTGACAAGTCCCGATGGAGCCAAATAATAAGCCGTGTGGGTATCGCGCGGCGGTACCTCAATTTCGTTAAAGCAATCGAGTCGAGAGTCGATAGCTGCGTCGAGATTATCGCGTCTTTCGATCAACCGCTTTTTTCATTGCACTATTCGGCAATTAGTACTTTAGACGAGACCCGCGTCGCTCACGATCTCACGTTGCTCGAGCCAATCAGGATTCGAAAGAGACTCGTCACCCTCGTTCCTAAGCTTCTAATTAAATCCACGCGCAAACGAGTGCATTTCTATCGAAGTCGATCCACTCTTCCCGCGAGGTGAGCTACTTCGAAGCAATATCGATCGCGTCATTGGTTGTAACAGCCTTTTAAAAATAGTTTCAACAAGAACGAAACTCTAATGAATCACCGAATGCTCGGGAGAGCGCAAGGAATACGGGAGTTATCGGGGAAGAAAGGAAAAAAAAAGAGGAGAAAACGAAACTGTGCATTTTCATTTCATAAAACGCAGTCGCGTCAACCTACAAACACCGCGTCGTGCCAGTAGTTTTGTATACAGAGGATACTTTAGCGTTGTGTCCCGTGCGTGTGTTGGCCAATGACCTTCTACTTTCATTTATCCCATTTCTACGCTTACTCGGACCGGCAAACTGTCATACGCGAACGTAAACGTAACTTATTGTTAAATGAAATTCCACCCGATAGTGGGGCTACCCCCGAGGTCCGGTTTTTCATTTTCTGGTTGACTGCTGACCAGAAGTTAGCCGACTCTCCGCACAGAAAAAAGAAGTGTCAGATCAACTCTTATATACCCAAATTAACGCGTTCATTGTTTTGCGTGTACGCAACAATCTACACGGAAAGAACAATGTAGCTGCTGTAGCTAAAACTTAGCAAAATAGGGACAGCTAATATTTTTAGTTGTGATAGCTCAATATTTTGCTACGACAGCAAATCGTTTGCTGTCGCACCTAATACAATAGGCACAGTAGCAAAATATTGAGCTATCACAACTAAAATATTAGCTGTCCCTATTTTGCTAAGTTTTAGCTGCAGCAGCTACATTGTTTTTTCCGTGTATAATCTTTTTAACAGCATTTAATAATCGTACAGTCCAACAATATTACGGTCTTATTTAAATACGTGTCACTTCGAGAATATATACAATTGTTTAAAAAGAAAACATTTTAATCGTCATAAGATTCGATTAGAAAATGTCCAATATTGTTTCCTTTCCATTCAAAAAAGCTGTTCTCAAATAATAAATGTATATTTTTCTTGATCGAGTTATATAAAATTGCTTCATTCAAGTAAGTTTCTCTTGCTCTAACGCAATATAATCTCGTTTCAAGACTTTTACGTTGAAACTAAACATACATTCAAAAGAATATAATTTTTCCGTGCATCTTTTTCTACGTTATTATCCAAGAAGAGGCAGAGAACGACTAACCTCTGGTTAACAATTAACCAGAAAATGAAGAACCGAGCCTAAGAGATATTCACGGGGGATTTATCGTCGAATGCAACAAAGATCCTTTGGCTCGCAGTTAACAGTGTGAACGTCTGCACGAGACTCGTTCTTCAGGCACATTTGGAAATGGGACGAAAACGCTGAAAATAGTGGAAGAAGGAACGCCTATGCGCCACGAGTTAATGCCGGCCGCTCTTCCGCTAAATACCGCAACATCGCGAAATTAAAATATTGATCGAACGCTGTCGCGAGGGAGGATGGGAATCACGGTGGAGAGAAGCAACGGGCCGATAGCATTAGCAATCGTGGTATCGTCAAACAGACGCGAAACGAGCCGCTGGAGGAAAAAAACTTGATCACTTGAAATTAAACAAGGGCTCGTACGATGAAATCGATATAAATAAATAGCGGCGAAAGAGCCAACGCCGATTGTTGCTGCTGTATTTATGTACTTAAGAGGATGCTAAAGTCATCATATCGCTTTATAAGTAATTGTGGTTAGGCTTCACATGCTGATATTTTTAATTTCTCTTCGTTTTTTATATAAAGTCGTGAACCCCCCGCTTTGTTTTTACGCGTACTGTAATCGCGTGGAAGAATTTTGTAATTTTATAAAGCCAAATTCAAATTGCTCACGATTAAAAAATTGAAAATTTCAAATACCAATATCTTTCTCATTAGACTTCTGACCCGAGTGTTTCAAGTATAAAAACGTTCTGCTATGCGGTCCGCAACTTATCCTGGTATTATTTTAGGCGTAAAAACTAATAAAAAGATTCAGCAGCGCAAAAACTATATTCGAATGTTTCGGTAAAACAGACGACTTTAGCATCCTCTTAAGGACGTTCATCGGTAAATCGATTTTCTATGATTCGCTTCAAATTTGGACCGTGTGCTATTAATAGTGTTATCTATATGCCTGCTGAATTTTAAAAAAACGTGTCCGTACCAAAGTTGAGATATTCAGTATCAAAGTTACTCGTATAGTAGCATATACGCGAAACGTGTTCAGGGATATTCAAGATCAGTGTAATTGAAATAGAATCAAGAGTAAACTTAATTGTCGATCTAACTGGCAATGTATTTGTAAAAATTTTTTTATAAAATTTTACATAAGGTGCGACGTTTCGACCCACGTATCGGGTCCTTATCAAGCGAATGAGCTTGTCACTTGTGTTTTCGTGGAACTTTAACTGAGACTCAGTTCAACTCCGATTGCTATAACGAACGAACGTCTTTACTCTAACTAATTATATTCTCCGGACAATCCTACACTGACAATGACCTGCGAGTCTGCTATAACCTGCATTAAATGAACACCACAAGCTTATTCGCTTGATAAGGACCCGATACGTGGGTCGAAACGTCGCACCTTATGTAAAATTTTATAAAAAAATTTTTACAAATACATCGCCAGTTAGATCGACAATAAGTTTACTCTTAATTTTTTCATCACTGGTGACTTAAAGCATATCCCTCTATTATTTGAAATAGAATCGTTGAAACAACATCAGTATTAACAAATGAAGAACATCAGATTGTTGCCTTAATAATCTGGATATTTAGTTGAACGCTTAAAATCAAAATCCATAGCAAATACAATTGAGTGAATTGTTTGTGGCAGCCCGTGAGACGTTAACGTTTAATTCAAGCAACTTCGTTTTGCCTAATTCAACGGCATTTTTTTCCGCGAGATAACGTAAAAAAAATGTGGTCCAAAATATTATATAAAATTGAGTATAAAAATAGTAGGTTTTATCCGAGGGCATTGCGTACTTTTCTATTGGTCTTCTGTGCGACAGAGTTCAGTTAAAGTTCTGCGTTTTTCTACAGACTTCATTAATTCTCCTTTTCGTACTGAAGAATGCTCGATGTCGCCGAAACGTCCACATTTTGCGAACGTTTTAAATACATAAGCACAGCACCAACAACCGGCGTTGGCTCTTTTGCCTCCGTTTATTTATATTAATCGAAAGATTCACTATTTCCCGTATTATTAAGTTTTGTAATCGTTCAATGTTGTAATACGTGCGCACACATACACGCAATCTTTGCCCCGAGTTAATTATTAAACGAGGACCGGTTTATCCGTAGTTTGGTAAACGGTAAAAAGGTACTGAAGATACCCGTTAGATTAATGTCAAATAATTTCCTTACCTGAAGCTCCTCTTTACACTGACGTTCCTCCTCTAAACTCATCCGCTTTTCGTGTTTCTTATAGTATCGCCTCTTGGCAGCTTGTAGGTTGAACCATGTGTACGAGAAAGATTTCACGAATGGTAGAAGAGCCTCGATAAATGGATGGAACTCATCCTGCAATTGTACAACGTTTATTTCTTCCGTGGGATTGTCCATAACTAGTATACGATTTTGTCATTATATTAAGCTGCGGGTATCGCAGTTAAAAATTCGTTCTCAAGTAGGCATGCAATTTTCTCGGTTATCATGAAAACGCCAAGTTTTGTAAATCACGGATATATATCGGATGGAACAATTCGACCAAGTGTAAAGGAGTGAATGACACACGAATGATATCCCAAACTGCTAATTCAATTAGCTTTGACAGCTTGAAATATCTGTGTTAATAGAATAGGCAAATACGTTAAACATACGTCATTAACCCTGTTATTTATGTGCCTACGTAAAACTGCAAATTAAGGTGAGCAAAATGCACGAGATCTATCGTTTCGTTCGGCGAATACCCTCCTCGACGTAAGCCTCAATAAAATTAATAGATAAAATTATTGAAAGAAATCACGCGCTATTTTAAAAGAAGGCTTATCAAGTTTGCCGATTGTTTAGTGGATATATTATTAAAGGATAATCCGCTCTATACAGTCAGCCTCGCTAGAGAAAAGTATAATCTTGTAGCAGAGAAAAAAGAACGAGAGAAAATTGAGATGAGATAAATATCAGTGACGAGGCCACAAAGCGATAAAGTAATATTCGTAAAAGTTGAGAACTCGTGTAACAGCTGTGTCAATCTTTCCGCTATGAATTCACCCTATAATTTTTGCTCGAAAAATACTTCAAATTTACTGATGGTTTGCGCGGACTTTGCAACACACACGGGAGAGCCATTCTCTTATCCCTTTCCTTCTAATGTTTCGCTTTGTCGTGCCTCCAGAAACATTTATTTTCGTCCTATCGGCAGTACTTTCTTTCCCGTTTAAGTTTACGTGATTTATGATTTCTCTTGTCTACGTGTATGAAATTTTCAATGAAGTTTCTTTTTGAGATGCCATCAGTAACAAGCATATTGAAGTACTCGATACGGACAATAGATTTTTAGCAATAAATACTTAATGACAATGATGTCATTTAATGTCTCCCCCTCCCTCCCTTCCCCCTCCCACTCTCCCCCTCTCTCTCTCTCTCTCTTTCTCTCTTCAGAAAACAAGCTGACGTTATTTATCGTCATTTTGACACAAAAATGATATTTTTTTAATGTCATTTCAACGTCAAAGTGACGTCAACTTATTTTCTGGGTCTCTCCCCCCCCTCCTCTCTCTTTCTCTCTCTCTCTCTCTCTCTCTCGTCTACTCATAAAATGAACAATAGAATCTTCTCGTGGTGCATATCTCGAATACTACGAATAAACTGCTAAAGAACACAAACGAACCATCGAGTATTCGCAAACACTGCAGCCGCTGTAGCACACTACCGTCCCGTCCGTCCCTCCTGTCAGCGTCCAGCTGTCAGATACAGCGATCCTCGCGGTAACGATTGCGAAGACCCCCGATACTCCTTCGCGCCACAATTGCGGATCGCTCGCGGCCTCATCTGTACCGATCGGAAGAGGCTCCCGGGAAGAAGCGACTGGCTTCCACGGGCGACTTAAAATCCTCTACGCGTAGCAGTAGCCGAGCGCGCGAGAATCGACAATCGGACGGAGTCCCGTCTCGAGGCCCCTCGAGACCCGCTCGGCTTCCGCGCTCGCGCACTTTTTCTCTCCTTCTTCCCGCGTGTCTCCCAATTATTCGAGGCAAATCTATTTTATCCCTTCACTCTTGACAAAACGTCTCGCGCCAGTCCGGGGTGCCGCCCGGCGTTTCTCGTTCCGCGACACTGTTCCCGCAAACGCCGTCGCATCCGCGTGTATTCCGCGCTCGTATACTCTGTATCAGTCGCGCGATAACGCGGCATAATTTTTACCGAGCGCCGTCACCGCGGAGTCATTCGAGCGTCCGTTAAGCGAGCGGTCCTCTCCGGGTCAGGGATCCCTAAAGTTAGGAGCGAGATGGCGTTTCCTTCCTAGGCAAGGTCCAAGTTCGCCCCCGGTTCGAGCCTCACTTGAAACGGAGCGTCCCTAAACCCGCCGCGATTTAAACGATCGAGGCGCGCGTTAAGGCGCCGGGGCGATCGCGTCGGGTTCTCCGGAACCCGCGCCTCTGACCGCGAACGGAGCGACGAAGAGAGGAAAGGGAGTCGAAGGTGAAGGCGACGTCGTGCGTTCGCGCCCTTTTCCTCGGCGCCCGTCAGGACGCGCTCGGTTGTCAAACGGGCGGGCGGACCGAGAGGAAACGAGGGAACGAACGCGGCGCGTACGGCGCGAGCGAAATAATGAGAGACGAGCGCAACTGTGGGGGGACGAGACCGTCGCTCACGGACGTCTTGCGGACGCGCGCCATTGCACGCTCACACGCGCGTCCATCTGTCTGCGTGACGTTGTTATTTTCGGGGACCAGCGAAAATCGGAAACGCTAAACACTCTCTCGTCATCGCGGCGGAGATGCAAAACACATTGGGGTAGGAACGCGCGACAAATCTCGGGATACATTTTTAGGGGCGGAGGGGGGGGGGAGGGGGAGTGCAAGCGCGAGGAAGCCGAGGGAAACGACTCCGGTGCGTCTCCTCCTCTACTTTTTAACTTTTCCCCCCTTTGTTTCGTCTTTCCCCCCTTTCTTTTTTTTTTGTTTACTGCAAGTTACTCCTCACGCGAGAAAACTCATGCCAAAAAAAACCGACGAGCAGCCAAGCGGGAAGAAGCGCAAAGTGAATCACTCCCGGAAAAACGATGGTCACACGGGAAACGTACCATTGTCAGGTACGAGCGATTCGCGAACTCAAATTAGAGTCCGTCACCTCCTCCTCCTTCTCCTCTTCCGTCACCACCGTCTCCTCCTCCTCCTCCTCCTCCTCCTCCTACTCCTACTCCTCTTCTGTTCTTACTCGCGCGATATCGCGTGGCGCAGACCCGTTCGAAAAAACTCACGAGTCACAAAACCGACGGGGCATCTCGACACGTAAATCGGACCGACGTGGCTCTCGCCGCTCGCAGAAACGAAGGAAAAATTGATGGGAGCTTCTAGCCGGCGAACGACTTTTTACGGTGAACAACGCATCGCGACTCGAGGGGGCGCGCGACGGGGGCGCGCGAGGGGACCGGCGCGAAAAACGCAATGGCGATCGAGTCGGCGAGGCCCGTACGCGAGATTTAACGCACGTTGACTCGCCCACGCGAATTCAAGCGGCGAGGGACTCGCGTGCGCCGGAGCATCTGGGCTCTATATAAAGCGCATGGTACAGTTTTCCCATGTTCCTCGGAGGAGTGCGCCGCGCCGCGCCATTTCGGCGTAGGTGCAGCCCCGGGCCTTGAGGGAGCTCGCCGTGGAACCACGGCGTGACAGCGCCGAGGGTTGGCTTCCTCTTTGTCGCGAGACACCACCGTGTCCCGCGCCAAGTGTAAGCGTAGCTAGAGCCGGGGGGTTTGGCGGGCCCTCGGATTTTCGGGTCTCAACAACGGCTGATCCGACCAACTTTCCCGAGCTCTCTTCTTTCAGCGCGAACCGCCGCGCGTAGACAAGTTACGGGGGTGGGCGATTTACGCGGGAGGGCGCTGCGTATTTGGATCCCGGCGGGCCCGTACGCGACCTACGCGTCTCGCCGTCGGCGGAGCACAGTGGATGCAACCGTCGGTCGTCGCGACGACACTGAGACGCCGGTCGTCGGGACGCGCGTATCGAGACGCGGACGGTACCGCGCGCGGCGGCCAGGTACGGCACCCTAAACAGTTATTAATAGCCCCTGTCCTAGCTTACTAGATTTGCCCTCGAACTAACGCGACGCGACGCGACGCGACGCAGCGTCAGGCGATCCCGGATGGCGCACGCGGGTTCGCGCGCGGTATTTTCTATACGAGCTTTTCGCCCCTTTCCCGAATTGCAATTCCTTGGGAATTCACAGACGAGCGCGATGGGGGATACGATCGCGGTCGCACGCGCGACCAACTTCCGACGGGTACCTCGGGGCGACAACTGACCGTGAAGTCGGTTCTTCGAGAGAATTCAACAGATATTCATTGTTCTAATTCTGTACGCCAAGTTGCCTATTATGAGACAGGCCCCCAATACGAGACAGCGGAGTTTACGGTCAAAATTGACAGGCGTCGTCTGTTCCCGAGGAGAAGTGAAGAGTCAAGATGACGATGCGATGACCAAAGAGTGTGACGTAAATTCGGTTCTCTCGGTGAGAACGTCAATGGAGGCGAAATCGCGGCCCAGCTGTCAGTTTTGGAAAATAACTGAAAGTTCCGAAACGTAATTCTTTTGCACCGAATCTTGCAGCAAATAAGTTAACTTGGCAGTTGTCTCCCATAAAACGCCGATAGTATTCGGAATATTGAACGCAGTAATTTAATACAAAAAAATTAAGCTCCAAAGCTTAATTATTGCCCGGTTGGAATACGATTTCGGCCCCAGTGACGTCGGCTCGACCTTGGTGTTCTCGCTGGGTCCCTAGTAGCGCAGTGCATGGACCAAACGTTGGCTAAACATTGGCCAATGCACTGTGCTACTAAAGCCCGTATCAGACTACGGATTGAGATTGGGATTAGATTGAAATTTGACCAATCAGAGTAAAAGTTACTGAACTTGAGATTAGTAAACTTTACTGTGATTGGTTAAATTTCAATCTAATCCCAATCCCAATCCGTAGTCTGATACGGGCTTAAGGGATCATCAAACTGACGTCATCTTGTCTCTTTATTTCTCCCTGGGCTGGTCCCACCATGAATCTCTTGAAGTGAAATCTGTTCGGTGGAAACTTCATTGTTGGATCGTAGCGAGAAAAAACCCTGAATCTAACATTATACAATTATTACCGTGCAACATTCACATTTATTCCATGGCCCATATTGGCTTTACGCTGGATCGGTCAATGCATTTCTAACCCCAGGTCCACAATCTTGCTTTAAGTAAGCCTCAAGCCGTAAGAAATTAACCAATCACAGGCATTATTCCCCTCACTCTCATCTGTGATTGGTTAATTTCTTACGGCTTAAGCCTTACAGCTTACTTAAAGCAAGATTGTGGACCAGGGCTAAGTCCCAGTCTACGACAGATGATTTAAGCCCTAGGCCTTAAGAAATTGACCAATCACGGTCGAGTATGAGCAGAATACGCGACTGTGAGTTAGTCAATTCCTTAAGTCCCAGTCTACAATAGAGATTTAAACCCTAAGCCTTAAGAAATTGACTAATCACAGTCGCGTATTCTACTCGTACTTGACCGTGATTGGTCAATTCTTAAAGCTTAGAGCTTAAATCATCTATTGCAGACTGGGA